CAACAAAAAAAAGTCACACTGTATCTATCTGCTTTCATTGTGGTGATCTGATGTGGACATTGGTAATCTGTTAACTACTTCTCCACAGAAATCAACTAAGAAATGCAAACTTTCTGTCAGTAAAGTAACATTTCACCATCCAGGGTCTGCACCTCCATTGGGATACATGTAGAGGTCTGCAATTCAAACACCCTCTCACCCTGCTGCACAATTTTAAAGAAAAACATGGAGGAGGAGAACAGCTCAGCTGGGGTTATGCTGAACCTTCACTTCAACAGGCAAAATGTTTAACTTCAGCCAGTCCAATCTGGGTTCTTGTTCACATATCCTGCGGCCACCAGAAGTTTCACAAGAGGGGAATAGTTGGAAGACAAAGGAAAATGGTAAAACCTCATTGTCCAAATCCAGTGGCCACTGGTGTTTCTCAACCAGTTGGAAAAAAAGAAGAAAAAAAAAATGGGGGTGGGGGGTGGGGGGTGGTGAGTAAAATGGTCTTACCATACCAAGCAGCTATGCTGATGAATGTGTATGTTCCATCGTACTCATCTCCAGGACCACTGCTTAGCAAATACTGTCTTTCTTATCCAACTCATTTTATAAGCTTGAGCAAAAAGGATAAACATTGTGAAGCAGAAGCCACCGATTAAAAAAATCTGGAGAATTCTTCTAGAAAATTACTTCTGTTCTCTCATTAGAGAACAGTACCAGGACACTACTTTTTTTTTTTTTTTTTTTAAAAATCACAAAACACTTTTATATTTCTAAGAAGAATTTTGTAACACCCTTATTACTCAGAAGCCTCAGTCTTTTATTCTTGGACATTTCATCACACACTTGACACACACACCAAATACTTCCTGATCAGAGCAGAACTCCCCAGGAAGCCAGAGGAGCTGCTTCCACCCCAATCAGTCCTGAACTGGGCCCAGTACACCCAGATGAATTCTCATCCTCCTCTTGTCCTCTTCTGAGTTCAGTCACCCCTTCAGTGTTGTTTGATATCATTTTGAAAGAAGTATTTTTAAGAAAGCAAAAGCAACCAAAAGAATTAATGATCAACACTACAACAAAAAGTATAGTCTCCTGGTGTCTACATAGTACTTGTCAACAGAAGGCAAGATAAAAAAAAAACATCTCACTTCATTTACCAGTTTCTTTTCATAGTTTTCATGAATGTTTTAAAGCAATGTTAATTTGTCTCAAAGTCAGATTAAAAAAAACTGCCATTGCTAACACAAGATAAAAAGTCTAACTGTAGTGGCTACCATTAAAAAGCCTTTATTATTTGCTACTGCTGCTACCACATAATGAGACAAAGTGTGTCACCAGATATGCACACCTTACTGAGGAATCAAAACTCCCTGAATAATCATCTAATCAGTGACAGACCAGATTTGGGTCTCATGCTCACAATGAACAGGGGTTTATGAGTGCAACATGTGAGAAGCCTTGATAAAAGTTAATACTTCTGTAAGAGATGATTTTCTGAATCTTGTTAGGAAAGGTGCCTTCTGTTAAAGCCTATACTCAGAGAAGTACAGTACTTCAAAAGTATAGTAAAACTCTTAACTTTTTTAACAGAACTCTAGCCTGTAACTCCAGATGTCCTGACTCATGTTTATCTAGAGATAACTAATGGCTTTCTCCAGTGAAGTTTTTTGCTCTGTAGAAGTGTCCACTCAATTGCCTGATTTTTTTTTTTATATACCATGAACACTGAAAAATCAGTTACTGACCAAGAAAGTGTGTATATTTATATACATAAATACACACTTAAATATATAAAACAAAAAAGCTAAGTATTTTTACACTTCATATAATTTCCTTAATTTGTATTATATCCTGTACATTATCAGAGTCTCACTGGATTATGCACATCAGTTTAGATCTGAATAATCTTGGCCTCTTCTGGACTTGCACACATTTGTGACAAGGTGGTTCCTCAGGGAACCAGCTCAGGGAGACTAAGATCATTGTTCCATTTTCCATTAAAATCCTACCTCAGTCAGCCTATAAAAGGTAGATTCCATATTCATCAGGAGCTTCTAAATGAGTGAGCCTTCACTCACACTACACTTTCTGCTGTATGCATCCCAAATATAGAAACACGCACTTGTACTCCCCCATTTACATTACAGTAGCTGCATAAACAGGAACTTTAAATCCATCTGTAGCCCATGAGTTACTACTGTTCTGCAAGTCCATAGCTGAGGACAGAAAAAGAAGGACACACTTCAGTAGAAAACAGATTTTGTTTGTTTCTTGGGACAGCAAAACCTGAAAGTAGTCAGGGGTTTAAAGTGCTGGAATTGGTCCCAGTGAAGACAAATTAGAAAGCTGAAAGCAGAGAAGATGGTCTATAAGGCTTCTTAAATTGCATTTCAATACATTGCATTACTTTGTGCAACATAAGACTCACTACTGTGGATATGAGGTATGTGTTAATATTATTTGAATACACAGGACTGCAAATAAACCTCTTTAAAAACAACTGAGCAATGAGGAAATATAAAACAATTGGATGTACCCACAATGTTTTGTTTACAATACTTTCCTCTATTCCCACTCATCTCTCCATTGTACAGATATGATTGCATGGATAAAGTTCATAATGACAATTCAACTCCTAAAGCCACACAAGTTACAAACCCAACTCTATATTCACATTTTAGAGGATAAAGAAACACGATTTTTAAATTTAAGGCAGAGCAAGCCAGAAAAGACAAGCCACCTCAGGCCGCAACAGTGATGTTTTTCATCTGGATTCATATAAGTTAATACCACACATAAAAAACAAAATTACTAACAAGGTAGCAATACATTCAGAAAAGCAGTCCACTTCATTAGCTCAATACTATTATGCCAAGCTTATTCCGTCAAGTGAAATGTTTAGTTTTTTTTGGTGGTTTGTTTAAGTCTGAAGCATGCCCAACTTTCTAAATAAAGCTACTGCAATCAGATGTAGGAAACCAACAGTTGATTTCACTACTTTGACAGCACTATGCTTCCCCTCTTCCCCAGCTATCTCCAGTAGGGACAGCCTTGGAAAGTTTTCTATTCATCAATCCAACAAGTACAGCTCAGACAGTGGAAACAGGTCCATTACATTAAATCACCAATATGTTTCATCCTGATTTTCCACTAGGATCAGTCTTTTGCAAGCAAAGACAAGCTTGATCTGACTGTGTTCCATGTCAACTACACAAGCCCATTCTCAATTGGAAGCCCCATTGCATCATTTAGCTTCTTCACGTCCAAGCTTGTAAGATCTCCTCTGAGCTTAACATACCTCCTTAGCCTTCAATACACGGCAGATTTTCATCTGGTGATGTTGAAACAGGGGCAGGGTTAGCTTGCCTTTGTCTGCAAAAAGCTGGGTAAATGCATTATTAGCTGAGCTTTGTCTCAAACCCCATCCAAAATTTGGTGGTCTCATTACCAAATGGATGATTCAAAGCAATAATCATAGAACCACAGAACGGTTTGGGTTGGAAAGGACCCTCAAAGATCATCTAGTCCAACCACCCTGCCATGGATGGGGACATCTTTCACTAGACCAGGTTGCTCAAAACACCATCCAGCCTGGCCCTGAACACTTCCAGAGAGGTGGCATCCACAACTTCTCTGGGCAACCTGTTCTAGTGTCTTGCCACCCTCACAGTAAAGAATTTCTCCTAATAGCGAATCTAAATCCACCCTCTTTCAGTTTAAAACTGTTACCCCTTGGTCTATCACTAAAGCACCAACCTGCTCTCCAAGGGTTCAAGAGAAGTCAGCAATGTGCTTGATAATTGGCCACAAAACAGACTGCAAGTAGCAGTGATTTTTATCAATGCCAACCTGTACTGGATCTAGTTCAATGGCTTAAGACAGAATGAAATGAGTTTAAATTGTACTCATTTAAAACTAGATACTTTATCTAAAAATCAGAATGGAGAATTCATACGAAGCCTTTATTGTCAAGGCTACTGCTCAAAACATTTAATGCTATTTTATTCTAAAAGTGAAATACTTCACAACTGCATGTGTATTATTTGTTGGCTTTATTGTACTGATGACAGTAGGAAATAGTCTTATTTGTTCAGTGATTGAATTGTTATTGCCTTTTTTGGACTTTTTTTTTTTTAAAAAAAAAAAGGACACTCATTTTATTTGCTCTATTAACTCCCAAAGTGCCAAAGTGTCAGATTCACAAAAAACTCAATTTTCCACTCTGCAGAAATCACCCTGAAAACTCTGGTTTTCAGCCCTTAAAGACCAAAAAGACTCATAAGGCTTTTAAAGAATCTCTCCCAATTTTTTTTTTTAAACATTCTCTTATTTTTCATTCTAGTTAAAAACATATCTAATATGACAAATTACTGCATATACTCAAAGCGTCTGGAGCACACACATTCACCTGCACTTGGTAGTCATGTCTGCAGCACGCAACAAGAAGCAGCAGCTTATGAATGAGAACAGACACTTTATTGGCCTTTAGGAATTCACCTCTGACGTATGTTTATTCACGGACATACCAGACACGGAAGAATTGACCTGGTATTTTACCTAAAATTAGTTAACAGTTTATTAAACTCAGTAACCCATATAAAAATCCATATATTCATATATCCATAGAACCTTTCTCTTCCTTTACCTGCCCTGGGAAAAAATAAACAAGCAAATAAAAAGCACTCAAGAAGAGCATATCTATTCTCATTCTGGTTGTTACCCAGGTCACTTGGGAAAAAGTCTCCACAGTGCCTGAAAAAGAGATATTCCATTATTTTAATTATCTTCATCTAGAGAAAAATAAAATAGTGCAATGTCCAAGATGTGTGTGGGCTAAAACTCCATGGCACTAACTCACTTCTGGAACACCCAGTTCCTCAGACTGTTACTTTTGCACCTTTGTATGTCTTTAACAGGATGATAAATGCTTTTTAAGCAGTAGCCAGGACTTCAAGAAGCCTGGAGTCATTAAGACTCACCAAAATAAATAAGAACACAGTCCTACCTACCTTAGATATTTCTGGCTCCACTTGTTGCCTCTTGGGTGTCTCTTTTGACTCAGGCCCTTTTGGAGTACTAGTGTTCTTAACAGAGGGTGATTCAACTCCTTCGCCTTCAATTTGCAGATTAATACCTTCTGTTGGGACAGGGTGATCAATCCCATTTGGATTCAGATTGCAATGGATAGCTGGGAAAAAATTATGAGACAGAGAAAACACTGCTTAGGAAGGAACCCAACGTTACAAATATTTATCACAAAGTACTAAGTGCCATGTGGTAACCAGAGCTATGTCAGATCATTGCAAAAGAACTCTCTGTAGTTTGACATAGATTCAGGGTGAGATATTTGAGAAAGAAAATCAGAGGCAATGCAGCACTGTATAAGGCTATTTAGTGCAGGCTACTGTGTTGAATTGTGCTCTACTGGATTCACTACCACATCCAAGACCCTCAACTTACCTCTTTCACTAGGGTAGGACAATATATCCCATGATGAATACATACCTTTTTTTCCTCTTTTCGGCAAGCAAGTTAAAGTTTTTCTATTACATTTTCAATTACTACAACATTCTAGGTCCTAAACAATGTGGGACAAGTAAGCTGCGCACAGCAAGTGGGTCTCTGCACAGTAATGACTTACCCAGCTGATTATCTCTCCTTCAGCACTTTGTACCACTGCAAATTACCACCTACACCATCCTAACAAGCAAGAGGGATGTACTCTCTAGGAGCATATAATGAGGTGTGGACTAATGACAGCAGAATAAGGAAAGCAGCCAGTGGAAAAAACAAAACAAATGCAAACCATACCACAGAAATGCACATTTAGAACTATGGCAGTAGTTTAATCGCTTTCTGTTCGAAATTTCACGGTTCCAGCACTCACGTAGAAAGCAGCCTTAGCAACCTTTTTCGCCCATGTAGTGATTTTAAAATGTGTGGATCCTGAGGCAACTTCCCCTTCATGAGAGTATCTGATTTTTGCATTCACGTTTCTGGGTAACTGTGCTACTTTTAGCACTGCTCATAATTAATGGTCCCAACTTCCCCTGTACGCAAAAGAACTTTGCTCAGATACTGTGGTGCAATGCTTGACAGACCTGAACAGAAACCCAAAACACAATGTAAAGCCAAAATAAAACCTGTGCTTTTACTCTTGCTTGGCTTAGAAGCAAAAGGTGGGGAGCAGGGGAAGGAATGAGAACTGCCAGTTTCTACCAGCTACGGATCAGCCCCTGAAAGCCTCTCATGTGAAACAGGCTCAAGCAGCTACAGCACCTTTTGCAAATCCATTCACCTGAAATCCCAGTGTCTTAATTGAAAACTTTGAGCCTAAATTACAGCAATTTAAGCAAAGAATGCAGAATTTAAGCAAAGGCCAAAAAGTTGGCCTTTTCTCCTTGTGATTTTTAAAAGCATCCAAATATTTGTAAAAGTGATCTGTCCAAGTACTACAATACCTGCATCTGCAAGTTAGGGATGAAAACATCTCCTATCTTCAAGTCAAAGGAACATTATGAAGGGTAATTCATTAACAACACTGAGTGATGGAAAGCTGTAAAGAACTGGAACATGTTTTATTACAGATTGCAGCGATTTTGTATAGAAGAATAGAAAAATATGTCACTGGCCCACAGAAAACTAATAAATGAAACTAAAAATGGGAAGAGAACTAAAGTTCAGTCTCACTGTGAGTAGCTGTAGGGGATTAGTCCTGGACTTCTTTACGAGTACGTAAAAGAGACAGGGATCCCTCTCCAAATCATCAATTCTTTAGCAGACAGCACAAGAGAAGGAGGAAGAATCACTAGACTATACCATGTCCAGAGCTGAGCTCTGCAGAGACCTCCTTCTGGGGAAGGAAACAGAAGATGTGAACAATGTAGAGCTTCTGGAGGTGAGGCAGGGTTTCTACTGGCTACCCCAGGGACCACCACAGGAGAAGGATTTCCAGCTAAAAATCCCATCTTTCTTAAAAGGGATCTTCCATCTGCTTAGGCCTTGCAAAGTGAGTTGCAGTTTTGCTTTAGAAGTACTGAAAACCCTCCAACAAGTTTTTTGGGGAATTCCTGGGTTTCCCCTTCAGGCATCAATTTCTCAAAAACAGGAACATGTTTTATTTTATAGGGCAAAAAGCACATAAGGAAAAGGGGTCTGCAGCAGTCTGTGTGGCTGTTGTTCTTACCCGTCATCTTTCTGTCTCATTTTAGTAGAGCAGGCATCTGCAATTTCTTCCCAATACCTAGAGCACTGTTACAGAGCCTTGTTTCCCAAACCAACTCTAAGGAGCTCTTCCCTAAGTCTTGCTACAGCTCTTCTACTTTCAAGTCTCCTTCTTCCCTGGTTCAAACCAATTCTGTAGGTTGGCTGAAGGCAATGCAAAACCAAATCCCATGTTCTAGCATTGCCTCTCACTGGTGAGGAGGGAAAAAAATAGATGACTGTCTTCAAGTCACTCCTTTCCTCATACTGGTTTTCCCAGCCACATCACTGAGTCAATCCAAAACATAAATACATAAACCTTAATAGTGTTAGCAGAGGCAGTTCCTAACTTTTGAGTCCTTTATTTCTAGGTATAATCCATACCTTGCCCCCTTCCTGGATTTTGATTTTGTCATGGCTACATGACTACAATCGATCTGAACTTGAACACAAGCTGCTGCTTGATTTTTTTTTTTTTTGCAAGACCTCTTTCTGTGTCAAGGACAAATGCAAAATCCTTTTTACTTCTGCAGTGAAGCTAACAGGCTTTACCTGCTCTGGCTGTGTGGCCGTTACAGGGAGGTATCCACAACCTGCCAAGCTGTTATGATGAAGGGAGTCTTTGGGGCCTTTAAGCTCCCATGGGAGGTTTCAAAGAAATATTATTTTGTGGTTTATATTTACATCAGTGTGTCTTAAGACACCAAAAAATTCTCTCTCCCCTAGATCATATCCACCTACCATTATCTATCTCCTCTAGATCATGTTGGACTGGATGATCTTAAAGGTCTTTTCCAACCTAAACAATTCTATGATTCTATGTTTACCTACTTGAAAAAAACAAGTAATTACTAATGATTACTTTGCTTATCCTCCAGACCACAGAAAAGATGGATGTGATCCACCAAGACAGACTTCTTTGCAGCCAAGTGAGGATGGAAACTGTTCTGTTAGTAGCCAAACTAATTCCCTCCTTCACAAAAAATGGGAGATATCCTAACCAACCTGTAAAAGTACTCCCAGCATGCCTTGCTCCAGCAAGGGCTGGAAATTAGCAGTGAAAGACACTTGGTACAGAATGCGGTCAATAAAAATCCCTCCAACTGTCTTCTGCAAGGATCTTACCTAGCTGAATAGGAAGACTCCTGCACACCTTTGAAACGCTAACACACCTCAGCACCATCCAGAAACAGGCAGTTTTTGGCTGCCAGTCCCCTTCCAGTGCTCACTAGCGAGAAATCACAAAGCACAGGGAGACTTAACACTGCCTGGAAGAAAATTCCCAGCAGCAAGCTTCCTGTGGCTTGCAACTCCTCCCTTCCCAGTGCCCCCAAACAATACAGATTAGGGAGGAGGGTGGTAGGGGATGCACAGGGAAAGCCTTCTGGGTTACAGCATTGATTTACCATGTGTTACAGGGAGCAAACAATCCAGATTTCTGATAACACAGTAGCATAAGCATCACCTGGACAGCTTAAAAAAGAAATAAATGGCAAGGCAAGATACTGCTTGACTCTTAGCCCATCATTCTTTCAAGAGCAATGAATGTTAGTGCTGTTTCAGCAATGCTTTATATCGGGCTCCTTCAGGATACAAAAGAGAAAAAATTGGGGAGGCTGCTAGCAATTACATATATGCCCATTACCTTTTTATTGAAAAGAGGTGACTGGTTAAAAGAAACACAGGCTGCCTCAGGAAAGACTTCCAAAGTTGCTGATATTGGGGAGGAGGGGGGACGGGGACAATCACACACACACAACTTTTTTTACTTCCTAGGGATAAAGGGAGAAGGAAAGAGTTCATCTCTCTCCTTCGCCCCCATCACAGTCTTGGCTTACCATACACCTGGACTGAATTTGTTCCTTAAGGAAGACCCATGTAGAACAAGAGCCTCAGCATGGGGAGAAGGCAGACTGAAGGGCAGGAGGAAAAAAAGCAGAGGCGACAATAAGTATCTCAGTCACTCAGCAAAACTAATCTCTTTGTTATAAGCCATCTTCAGGTAGCCAGCTCTATCATTTGCCCCTAGTGCTGCCTCCAAGTCTGAGCTACACAAAGAGTATTTGCTTGCATGGGTCTGTTATTTCCTGTTACCACACAGAAATATGTATTTCCATCTCTGTCGCAGACAGAGGTGGAGCTCTTGCCTCCTTTAAAATGTCAATACAAACCATAATTGCTCCCTTTCAAGATTTGTTAAAAGCAGGTCAGGGTTTGGTTAATAATAACATTCTCTTCTTTAATCAGCACCTTATATAGTTTCAGCTAGATAAGACCAGCTCTAAACCCAGGATTGACTATGCAAAACTAAAGGGGCTGGGGGGCTGACAGCACCCAGCGTTAACGTCCTATAGAACTGAGTCTAAGCAGCTCTTACAAAAGGATCACAAAGGACCAACTTTATCATACCCAAATGCTCTGACCCTCTTAACTGACTCAAATATCTTTCGGGACTTAATGGTACTCATCTGGAAAAGATTCCACCTACAAGCTCTTACTTCTTATTACCCTGGTATTAGCTAACACTAGCTCACCCCACCCCTCTGCATTCAGACCATTTTCCCACACTGCTGCTTTGACGATATCCCTACTGTCTCAGCACCTCTTCACTCTACCAAATTAAATCCACCTCATCATTCCCAGATTTCAAAAGTCCATCACAACACCAAACCCCACCTCCAAATCAGCTGACAGTATCAGCAGTATCATTATATTTTGAAACAGAACCTCTTCCAGTATTCTTCTGTACAATCTCATTACTCATATATCATCAATATGTCTTGATAATACAACTCTTCATCCAGTTTCAGAGCACTTAAATTCTCCTTTCCCTGCTGAAAACCCCACCTAACAGTTGATTAATGCTGTGTCTCTCTTCATGCTTGGAATTGTCACTTAACTTGGCTTGAATGCTTTCTGTGGTGGGAACTTATTTTCTTTTGGGGAGGGAGAGTGGATGTTCTCTATAGCTCCAACTGCAGCAACAAGTACATGACGAATGGTGCTGGCAGACACAATAACACAAATCCACAGATTACATTTATGAAACAAACTATTATTTAAAACAAAGGTACTTAAGTGCTCTTGTACGCCTAGCTTAATGGTAGAGCTGAATCTACAGGAAAATATTCACTGTTCCAGAACTTTAAAAGACTGCTGAGATATGCCAAGTTATGAGAGTCAAAAACTCTGTGAGAAAATAGTAAGTGGAGCACCCAAAATGGAAAAAATGACCACGTATGTCCTAAAAAACTAGAGAAGGAACAGAATTAATGCAATACACAGTGTATTTTTTCCACATGCTAGAACACAAACCCAAGTCCTTTCCATGTATACAGAGCAAGAGAATTTGTTGCCCTGCAGAAGCCTAAATGTGTGAGCAGAGCTCTGTGCCCACGCAGATCCCTTACGGCACACGTATGCAGTTCGAAAGGAGAGCTCTCAAGGCAACGTGAACGCTCGGCTCCCCTCACTACCTCCCTCCCATACACGCCTGCCTCCCGGATGGCAAGCAGCCAAGAGACAGCTTGCCTGAGCACGCTTGATGGTACACAAGAGTCACCAAGAGCCATAGTAAGTGACTGACATCTGGGGGCAAGCCTTGCATTTTACTAGGGGGTACTCTGTGAATCCTGTCTTGAGAAAAGCCTGAAGGCACTCTTCGAAACACAGCCTTGATACAGCCAAAGTTTTGCATGGGCAGATGGAAAGTCTTTGTCCCTCCATCTGTAGGCTCAAGGCTTAGCAGATCAAATCCATGATCAGTCACTACCTCTGTGCTCTCTACTGCCTACAGTGTCAAACGTTTCATAACTACTTGTTTCAGTGGGAATACTGCTGGCTGCTTAAAATTTCAAGCAGATCAATTAAGGCTACATTAAAGCATATTTGGCAAGTACTTGAGTTACATGCAATAACAATTGCTCTATTCTGAAAAGCAATCAAGTAAAAATAGCATCTTCTTACTCATCTGCCCTGTTCTGTGTGCATCACAGTCATATGCTAGCTTTTGCTATTCAGAGACAAAAAGCAGGCACAGGAGATACCCATCCAACCTCTAACAATCCTTAGAAAACTTTCATGTGTCAAATACTGGCAAACATGCAAGTTCCATTTTATGTATTCATGCCACAGACTTAGCTGCACACTAAGATATAAATCCATACAATCCACCTGCTACTCCCAGCATAAAATGCCACATTGTTGAAAAAGACAGACAGAAGTTAGTCCATACAGCTGGAACAGTAACAAACTCAGGTTGGACATGGCAGGGACCTTATAAAAAGGATCCAAATATCTTTTCAGTCATCTCAGGTCTTCATGAAGGTCATGAAGATTTAACAGGTATTTCCAGGAAAGGAGCTCCTGCAAGACCTTTGCACAGCAGCTCTCACTGGACCTGTTCCTGCCCAGTTCTTTGTCAAAAGAAAATCAAATCTCCAACTACATCAAATTCCGCAGTCAGCACTTTCAGTCAGACTTCTATATACCCCCAGATGCTGCATTTCAATACAGAGTAGTCAAACATCCCTAGGGCTTTTTGCCTGCCATCATTCACAACCCACTTTAACTGGGTTGATCAGAGAAGAGACGTTCACATTGAGAACACTGAGATTTCATTTCAGATTGAGAAGGCTGCTCACACTGACCAAATGAGCAAGAAGAAACAGCACTGCAAAGCCCTTCCCATACTTCCAGAAGCTTGTACTTCATTAGTAACTCTGAACATCCATAGAAAACATGGGATTATTTCAAAGATTATGTCTGACCTGAGCAGTTAGTACCACTTCTAAATACTAAAAAACAAGATTAAAAACAGCTAATAAAGATGACCTGAATAGCTAATAAAGACAACCATAAAATTTAGGATTATTTTGACTACTTTATTTGGCAGAAAGTTTTTCCACAGTTACCAGTTTCTATAACTCCTATGGATGGTCCCATCTGCCTCATCAATCAATTTCTAGTTTTGAGAAACTGTCTGGCTTTT